GTCGCCCCTCACAGTGCCTCCCCTCGGTCCCCCACAATCTCCCCTCTCAGTCCCACTGCGGATGTCCCCTTTCAACGTCCCCCTCACAGCGTCCCCTCTCAGTCGCCCCTCACAGTGCCTCCCCTCAGTCCCCCACAATCTCCCCTCTCAGTCCCACTGCGGATGTCCCCTTTCAACGTCCCCCTCACAGCGTCCCCTCCCAAGGTCCCCCCTCGGTGCCCCCAGTCCTCCCAGGCCCCCAGGGCTGAGGGGTGGCAGGACCCAACGCCCCTGACACAGTCCGGAGGGGCCATGCCAGACCGTGCCCTCCCTCTCCTGCGAGCGCTGAGCCCAGTGGGTGACATGCAGCTAGGGCCTCAGGGTGACGCCAAGGCCATGGGGCACTTGTGTCCCCCCAGTGCCTGCTTGCTCAGGCTTATCTTTCGGTGCTCCCCCTTGCCTGCCCTTGTTCTCTGCCTCCTCCTGCCTTCCCTGCAGCCTCCTCATGCCTGCCTGCGCCTGCACCCACAAGCACCCTGCGAGGGGTTGCTGTGGCCTGGCTGACAGGCTTCTCCCCCTGCTTTCTGCACACCCACAGGCTCAGATCTGCTCCTCGACCCTCACGTGCGGCTGCGCCGGCACTGTGAGGGCACGTGAGGGCAGATCTCCGACCTGAGCTGATGGGAGCTGACCAGGGCCGAACCGAAAATTTGCTTTACAAATGCCTTGCGCTCTGTCTAGACAGACTTCCCCAGCCCGAAACAGGTTTATAGGACTGGAGCTCTTATACTTCCGTGGATTTCCATACTGGTTCCCAACCTGAGAAGCAGGTCATATAAGCCCCGGTGAGGTGCCGGGCCAATGAGGCAAGCAGAGCTCCTTGTACCCAAACTGGTTGCTTGGGGCTGTTTTCATCGCCTACATGTCGATATGTCACCGAGGAGCAGCCACAACCTGAGGACAGGCTGGAGAAGGGCACTCGGACAATCCTGAGGATGTGTTGATAAAGTCCATAAGCCGAGATGGATTAATCAGCAACATTTTATTGGTTTAAAGGAGATCTATAATGACACCTTTTTTTGCAAAGAGCAAGTCTGTCTTTTGTTTACTTGAAAACTCGAATTCATTACATTTACTTCTACATTTACATGCATTTCATTACATTTACTTGCAAATTCTGTATTTATTTACATGGTGCCTGTCCTTTCTGAGGTCTGACTGTAATCACGCTGGAAGTCTCTTACAGGCCTCTGCTTCTATCACTATTTTATTCACTACTTATACAAGTGCTCTCTGGTTATGCCTGCCTTAATTTCCTTCAAAAGCAGTGAGTTCCCGTCTGCTTTAGGATGGCTCAGCGTGGGACAGGGTTTGGTGTCTACCACAGCTCCAGGCATGAGAGCAACAGCTTTTGTCCAGCAGTGTTTTACTGTAATATAAGGCATTTGCCCCAGTTCAGGTTGAGGGAAAATGTTTTGCTGTTGGAGGTGTGGGGGGGTGGAAATCAGGTCAGACTGTCTGTCAGGCACAACCGAGGACAGCAGTGCCCTTTGCTATCTGCTGCTTCGACTTTTTAACAAGTTTGGTCAGTGCATTTTGAACTGCAGCTTGGATAACTTTTTGCGCTTGCCTTGCCCATTACGTCACTTGTGGTCTTGACAACGAAGGATTTGCTGGAGCGGCTGGCACCAGGAGACCCCCATAGCATTTTGCTCCCCTTATGACCCCCTTCCCTGCTGCTGCAGTAACTCTGCAGCTCTGGCGTGAAGTCAGGATGGAGATCTACCACCGGGGACAGAACCCGAGCGGTCCCACAGCTACCGCCCAGCTCCAGGAAGATGTTCGTGCCAGCTGGTGCTAGGCAATACACTGATGTTACACCAGTACCGCAGCTCTGGCCGTACAGCCACCGAGCAAGAGGCCCTGACACCACCATCACCGTAAGAGGAGCTGGTGCGCCAGCGTGCCTGCCAGGGCAATGCTGCGTACTCGATGTTGGGAATGGGGAGCACATGGGAGGACTCATGGAGGCCATGATTCCTCTCCCATTAGCTGGGAGAGCTCCTCTATCGTTACAGCAAGTGCCAGACTTGCCACATCGGTGAAATCAGAGGGGGGATGCGAGTCCTGGGGACAGAGTGCGAGAGGAAGGAGGTGCTTTGGAGGGAGGGAATCCTATACCCCGGGCAGGAGGGGAGGAGGAGGATCCTATTGCTGCTGTGTCCTGCAGCTTCTCCATGGCACGATGTCCCCTTAGGATGGCCCCAGTTGCCCCCTACCATGGGATTAGAACAGCATTAGGTTAATGGCAGGAGGGAGAGGAAGACTTTGACTGTTATCCGCTGCCCCTGGAAACAGGGCTATGATTAAATACCCAAAAGGCTTAACAGTACTGCAGTGCTCGGGGTACCGTAGCCCTTTGGTGTTGGTATTGCAAGAGCCACATGGCCTCACCCACTGGTAATGCCAAACACAGAACGAGCTCAAATGGAGTAGGAGGATTTTGCGAGAAGAAAGGAAACTGTTTGAAAGACACTGTATAGCAAGCAAATGAGCCCTACTACTGCAAACTTGCACCCAGGATTCCCAGTCTGGACCCCAGTGCACGGCTCCCCGCTGCCCCAGCTGATGGTTAAGCCCTTGCATGGATTCCTCAGGACTTCATCTGCGGTGCTCAGGAGGCAGGGTGAAGCAGGTGCTTAATGGATAACTCCTTTATTCAGGACTAGTTCCAAGAGAAATTGCATAATAAAATCTGCACTGCTGCAGCCCATTTCCAGACTTCCTGTCTCCAAAACTAAGCTGCTTAAAGATACAGTTCCCGAGATCCTACCTTCCTTCCCCAGCCAAAACATGGAAATATCATTTCTATAGCTTAGGACCTCAAAACCTTACAGCCAAACAATTAACAATGTTTGAATAACTTCTGAGGAGCTCTGCACTGTAACTTGTAGTCACCGTGGCATCATCAGAGCAGCTCTCACTGGGAATAAGGCAGCCTGTTTTTCCTGGTAATGTTCTGTCCCAGCATCTGGTTGCCTTACCATCCCCGTGTGCTGCCAAATGAAGCTGTCCCAGGCAAAAAGACAAGCCCGGCACCCGTTACCTCCTCTCCTCCCGGCTGTTGCACGAGGTGCTGCCTAGTCTTCCTCCGAGCGTGTCCCTCTGGTTACACACACACAGCACTCATGGGACTGTGAAGCAACTGTTGTTTCTGGCTTCTGATTTTCATTGTATGTGTGAATTCTTGTTGTGTTCAGGAAGTGGTAACCCCTGGGACCGCAATCGTAGTGCTGTTTTGTGCTTGGCTATATGTCTGCCCACTTCTGCAAACCCTTAGCTCCTTGGGCTACGGAGCCTAACAACCCAAGTGGTCTCCTTGCTTCATTTTATGCAAAAGAAAGTATCTGCAGGTGGCTAGCCATGTTTTGCAGGTGCCATCCTGTCTTTTAATGCTGTTAAGCACTGGTCAGACCTGATTCTCCTTTCCTTTTCAGTACGTATTCATTATTTTAAAGCCAGTTTCTACCTACTTGTTGAACAGAGTCTAGTGGGGACTGGATGCAAACATGGACGTTACTGTGAACTCCCCAAAATCCTGCCCATCGTCTGTCGAGACCATCCTTTCTACTAGCATAACTCTGATGTAGGGGAATCATCCATTTAACAAGTAAGGCTGTCTCACAGAAGTGAGAATAACAGTTCAGGAAAAACACGTAGTCTTCCGACATCAACGTAATCCAGTCTGTCACTCCGAGTGGTCCTTTTTTCTTACGTCCCAAATGTGAAGCCCTTTTGCTGGAGTTGGCCTGTAATTTTGCCATGCCTGACAAACTATTATGAAAAAATCTGTATAAATCTGTCTTTACACACTCATCCTGGGTTGTTGCTCTAGAAATCGTAGTTTGCACTTTGAGAGACAACAGTCCATTTGCTTTACTTTTTAAGAGTCCAACTGCTATGAAAAATGTCTGTCTTTGGGCTCTGCTACACTACAGTTTTGTCCATCTGACACCAGCTCTCACCCGGCCTCACAGTCAGTTTGAAAATCATATTTCTATCCATAAAACAGTAATCTGGGTAATCTGAGCAAGTTTCATGTCTGCCAGCTCCCTTTTAGCAGTTGCAATTAGTGGTTTACGGGTGGTTTCAGTCAACACAGGACAAAATGAAGACATGAAACTTTTTTCCCCCCTGCAGATTACAGTGAAAGATCCCTTCCCTGAGCACATGGAAATGCAGGGTGCCCATAGGTACACTGTGGCCATTTGAGATGGGAAGATTTCAGCGTTTTCCACCTCCCGGCTCTCTGCCTTGTCCCTCTGTCAAAGGCTTGGCCTTCCCCATTGCACAGTCAGTAGGAGGGAGCATGTGCGAGCTCTTCAGGTGCTGCAGGTCACAGCTTGGCATTAGCTTAATCCCAGATGAATGGTAGTCCAAATTAACGTGCTGAGCTGCGAGCTCCAGCGGCGAGCACCGCTCACGCTCCCATCTGCTAAATTCACCACAGAATCCACCTCTTGCCTGAACCTGTATCTCGGAGAAAGACCTCGTCCTTCCCACCGGAGCTGCTGCCTCTGTCCATTCTTTCTTCTGCTCACTCCATGCATCTCAGAGCAGTGACATGTTAGCATCTTTGAACCTCGGCCCCAAGGTGGGGGATTGGGCAATTCCCTGTCCCTTGAAACATGCCTTCAGATACCTCCTCACCCGCTTCTGTCCTCTGCTTTTTCCATGAGGGCATCGGAGGGAAGAGATCAGGGGCTCAGCACATTTTACCACACTAAGCGTTGTTCCTTTCGATCAAATGCGATCCAAGCATTTATTAACCTACTTGGATAGACTGCATATTTCATTTGTGGAAGTAAATTCATTACTATAAATCTCATAGTTCAGCTGTTTTTCTCTCACTGCATATAGCTTTTTTTTGTATTGGTAGCAGTGCTCACAGCAATGCAGTGACTTCCACGGAAGCGTCTAAGATGACATTTGGAAATGCTCTCCTTGCGTTCTGGCTGACAGTCCTTATTTTTTGCTGCAGCAAAATCTGATGTTCCCATGAAAACTCTGCCTGAGCTCGTAGTCTCACCGTCATCCTTTTAATCACCCGTCTGCAAAATTCTGCTGAGCCTTTGCAAAGCCAGGCCATGGGGACACTGATTGCATTTTTCCCCTGCTCTGCCATTGTCCCAGCTGGTGGAGGTAGCCACAACAGTACGGCTCTGCTGTTGCTCCCGCTCCATTGAGCCTTGCCTGTCCCTCTGCCTCAGTCCTCCTCTTTAGAGGAACCCTTGGCGTCAACCACAGCTTTAGTGCAAGACCTTTGATTATCTCCAGGAGCTTCATTCCTGGAAAATTCTCCCTACCTTGTCAAGGGTTAATCCTGGCTTGTCCACCAACCCATAACCTTTTTGCTTTGGCCTCAACTCCTCACACCTGTTAAAAAACTTTATTTCTTATCAGAGACCCTGTTGAACTCCCAGAGGGCAACCCCAAGCTCTTCTGTAGTGTCAGCCTTTTTCCGTTGCCTGGGATAAAAGCCATCTCTGTGAAATGTTTTGGTTTTAGGTGGCAGACAGGTCCATCGTCTTCTGGAGTAGGCTCCAAGAGTTAACTCTGCCCAAGTTCTCAGAGCAGAAGGTGCTCTGAGCCACCTCAGATGTGGCTGCCCTGTCCTTGCTCAGGCGCCGTCATGTGCCGTCGGGCATCCGGCAGGCCCGCTCGGGGCAGAGACCAGCCCCAAAGGCGGATGCACAACAGCACTGTGCCTCTGCAGACCCCGACTGACTGCTGTCCCAAAGCTGAGCTCTTTGGAGGGAAATGGTCGGCTCCTGCACAGGACTTCCCTGCCCTACTGCTGTCTTAAGCACCTAGTCACCACCCCGTCTGCAGACTCTGCTCAGCCCTCTCCTTTCCCCTCAGGCACCTAAATTTTGCATTTGCTGGCACTTCCAGCGATGGAAATGCCTCGTGACTACGGTTCTGTGGCTAGACACATGCAAACCCCTCTAGCTTATGGCACACGAGACCTCTACAGCACTCAAGACCCAGCAGCTTTGCAGGTGATGATCACTCCATCCCACTGGCCTGGGCGTCCCCCCACAATCACCCTTCTTGGGGATCCCCCCCAGCCTGCATCTCCCACAGCTCACCCCGAAGAGGAAGAGGGATGCTCATCCCCCTCAAGCCTTTGAGCCAGGCTGTGGACTGTGCTCTCCTCCTGCGGAGGGAAGGGCCCCCAGCGGCGACCAGGAAGCCTTTCTGGGCTGGGTCTCTGGAAAACTGTCCTGCTGAACCAGTTCCAATTTGTATAAAATTCTTCAATATTCATCAGGGCAGGGAGCCCACTGAGCTGGGTTGACAAGGTGAATACATTAACTGCCTGTTTGTTCCTTCAGCCTCACTTTTCCTCCACCACGAGGGTTCTTTCCTTGTTTTGGACAAAAAAAGAGCAACTATCCACAGCAGCTCGGAGCTCAATGCTGTCTGGTTCAAAGTGGGACCTGTTGTGGCCCAGCCCCACGTTGCTTGAAGAGCATCCCACCAAGCCATGCCGTCGGTGTCTGGTCCCCATCACCACGTTGGTCAAGCAGCTACCGGGAAAGATCTAGCTCCAGGCCCAGCCTTGGGGTGGGTGGGTGGACATGGTGGTCTCTTGAGGGCCCTCCTGCTCGGGGGCTGAGGTTCAGGAGACCTGGGGCCAAACCAGGCAGGCTGCGGCGTAGGGCTGGACATCAGGGGAGCATTACAGCGGCAGATGTCAAGCAGAGGAGACACCTCCCTCTGGTCCAGAGTTAGGAACTGCATTTTCTAGGAGAAATGAGACTGAATGCTGGTCGTCATCTCAGCGTTTCTGGGGGACTGGTAGAGTTGGACGATGATGGCTTTTTTCCCCTCCTCCTAGCAAATAACACGTTTGTGGAAAACTGCACTTTT